CACCTGGAGTACTGCGTCCAGCTCTGGAGCCCTCAGCACAAGAAGGACATGGAAGTGTTGGAGCGGGTCCAGAGGAGGGCCACAAAAATGATCCGGGGGCTGGAGCACCTCTCCTATGAGGCCAGGCTGAGGGAGTTGGGCTTGTTCAGCCTGGAGAAGAGAAGGCTGCGGGGAGACCTGATTGCGGCCTTTCAGTACCTAAAGGGGGCCTATAGGAAAGATGGGGAAAATCTTTTTAGTAGGGCCAGCTGTGACAGGACAAGGGGTAATGGTTTTAAACTAAACCAGGGTAGGTTTAGACTAGATATAAGGAAGAAGTTCTTTACAATGAGGGTGGTGAAACACTGGAACAGGTTGCCCAGAGAGGTGGTGGAGGCCCCATCCCTGGAAACATTCAAGGCCAGGTTGGACGGGGCTCTGAGCAACCTGATCTAGTTAGAGGTGTCCCTGCTCCTGTGGGGGGGTTGGACTAGATGACCTCTAGGGGTCCCTTCCAACCCAAAACATTCTATGATTCTATATATGGAATTATATTTTAAAAATCGTAATATATTGTTTTGTGTTATTGCTGGAGAGTGTAACAAATGTAGTCCAGAGGCACACTCCTTGTGACACATGGCATTAATGACACCCAATGTCATATGGCATAAATTCCACCCAGTACTTCTCATCCCTACCTATTAAGCCAGAAAACATGACAGAATTAATTGGATCTGGTTACATTGAGACTTTCAAACGTACTCATATTTTCTCCTTTTTATCAGTCTGAATAAAACAAAAGTCATGTACACCTTCAGCTGTCATCCACATGAACTGTTAAATTATTCTGGCAGCAATATTCAAATAATGAGAATTTCAGCCAAAAATACACTTCAAAACTTTTGCCACATACCAGAATAGATTTTTCAGTCTTACAACATCTCAATAAGTAAAGCACGTATTAAAGTTATACTGCAAAGTACTTCAAAGTTAATTTTTAATACTTGGACCAGAAAAGCAACAATAACTTTAAAACTTTTAATAAGCCACACAGCAGAGGAAAAAAAAAAGCCATTAATTCTGCTTCAACTGAGCATTCAAGCAGAGTACATCATTTGCAGCATCCCCAGCAGAGATGGAGCACAACAGCAAAGCAGGAGTTAACACGTCAATATGCCTACCCACAAGGAGTCTTTCACAGAAATACATAACTAATAAATTGTCATTTGCTAGTGTTGGATTATTTCCTGACAGCATGCAGTACATTTGCTGAAGTGCAAATCATGCTCTTTACAGTCCAATTTATAGTTCAAATTTACAATTTTATTCAGAGCTAGCAGCAGTTTAAACCTAGTCTAACTTTAAAAATATTTCATTAGATGCTTTCTACAGTAACTTACAGGAGTTACCTACCGAAATAAGGACAACTGGATATAAGAGAGGAACGTTTGATTTTTCCAACATATCCGCTAGTTGCTGGGTTTCTTGAATGGCATACTTTTTATCCTGAAAATAAACATGAAAATGAATTTTTAGAATTACTGAAAACATCAAACAATGATATCATAAAAATGGAACTCAAAGATCTGTTATTTACAAAAAAAGGTACATAAGTTTTTTGTTTTAGAGGGGTTTGGTTGGTTGGTTTTATTATATTTGTAACGCTTTTGTCTGGTAAAGTTATAGCTGTTTGAAAAAAATGAGATTAATAAAGCTACCCTTAAGAAATATATATTTAATAAGCTTAAGGGTCTTATTGGTCTCAGATATGGTTCATCTAAAACCTTCCTGTTCCCATACAGGGATCCAAATACAGATTGCATGGCATGCCTGTGTCCAAAATGGGAAACACTAATTTAGACCATGGTGGCAATGCACAGTTAAATGACATACCTCTTCTTGAGAGAATTCACTTTAATACAGTAGCTATGAAAGGAATTTTAAACTATTTTCAGTTGCATCCTTCTTGTTCAAGAATTCAGGGCTGGTTTAATAACATACCACAAGAGAAAGAACAGAATGGTATCTCAAAGGTCTAGTTCGGTGCACATCAGAAACACCAAATATCAGAAAGGGTACACCAAGACAACGGAAATAACAAACAATTTATCATTCAAATAGGTAATTATTATTATCCATTACTAATAAGTTTAAGTGCAAAACTAAAAGCATGCATCTTTACTACTTACATTTATGCAAACAAAATTGTAGCACTGTCCTGAAAAGATGTTTTGTAGATGGCTATCATTGTTGCTTAGAGATACTGATATAGCTTCAACCTGATTAGAAAAAAAAAAAAAAAATATTGCTATGTCATAAATTTGACTTCAGCCTTAACTATCTGCTAAAGCTTCCACCATTATGGCAAAGTTTGTTCGTTCAAATAATTTGAAACAGGCAATTATTATTTCCACTGTGAGAAATAAAAAGTGCTCAAATTTTTAGGTGACTCAACGGTGAAGCATGGAGTCCAACACCCTACGGAGTTTTCTGCAGGTTTTTTTCTGAAGTGTACTGTTAGGGGGAGCCATTCCAGAAACAGCCCTGGAAGCATCAGATGCTAGCACCGCTGCCTGGGTTAGGATGTTCAGCTGTTCCCAGAGATAAAAACACCGTTCATAGGATCAAGATGATCTAATGATTTAGACCTCACATTCTGAGAAAATCTCTGTAATATTCATATATTTTGTCCCTATGCAACTAAAAATAAAATAAATAAAAAAGTACATACGAAAAAACAAGTGCACAGGTATTACAGGATTCTGCATATGACAAGACCCACTTAGAGTTTCTCCTGAAATAATTTCCTCAATGAATACATTAAAATAGTCTTAATCACAGACATACTTATTTTGCAACAGTTAACTATACCAGCTAAGAAATGATCTTATCCTAAAAAAAATAAAAAGTAGATTCTACTACATTGTCAGCTTCAGGATTGCCTTAAGTAAAAGAGCAAACCAGGTAGCAGAAGGGGAATTTGTTCCCTAAGAGAAGGTAACACTCTTGAAGCCAAGACAAAAACTTTGAAAATAAGGCCAAAAAAAAAAAAAAAAAAAAAAAAAAAAAAAAAAAAAAAAAAAAAAAAAAAAAAAATCTTCACGTTGCTTCTATTAAACCAGCAAACCTCACTGTTCCACTGCTCAAATGAGCTTCACTTCTGCCCAGAAGACGTATTATATATAGCAGCAAACAACAGAAGTGATATACCACTGTGTTCCCTCGAAATGTCACTTAATGCACAATCCAACAGAAGTATCAAATACAACATTTAAAAAGGCTTTGCCCTGTTATCTCAGGCTGTACTTGTTTATTTTTGTAATACTTGGGGAGCCAAGTTGTTTGCATAGGAAGGTGGTTTGAAAGCCGAAAGTTAATATTTATGCACTAAAGATTTTAGAAACATTTTAGGTTGAAAATTTGATAACACAGCCCAAATTGTTGACATTTAGTATTTTAGAGAGATTTAAAAAAAATATAAAAAATCACAGAAGGCAAGAACTACTTAAAGTACTTTAAAAATGCAATACTCCAAAGCTCTCCTGGCTTGAACTTCTGCAGAAGTAAAATCATAAATCCCCAGAACCTTTACAACCTTGCACATACTTGGGTGAACAGGAGCATACCGCATGCCAGAGTCTTCTCAGAAGGTAAATGGAACATGACTCAAGGGAGAAGGCCTGCTTTTTTTTTTCCCTTGAGATATTACAATTCATGATGCTTAAGTATTCCTGAACATTTAAAAATTAATTTAGTGTGTTGGAGTTTTGATTTAACATGAACAATTTGATAAAGCAGTATACTGAGCCTTTGTTTTACAGCCATGTTATCCAGCAAAAATTAAATCAGATTTCTCTCTTGGAAAAGTAAGCACAGCTGCCTAAATAGAAGCTTCAATCCATTATCAATAAACTAAAATTAGTTCTTCCTCTATTTGGCATGTCAGTATCCTATGCAAAATTTCTTTTTTAATTAAAATTAATCAAAGTTATCAGCTACTTGGGAGAGCAAAAATTACGTAATACCACCACCTCAGTAAAAAGTGTTTGTCACATAATGTTTCAGTGTTTAAATAGAAAAAAAGTGTATGGATTTGCTTAATCACTTCTGGTCACTGTAGCAATTGATATTCAGCTAGCGTAAAGAAGCAGAGATGGTGAGCTTTTATAGACATGAAGATAGGGATAATAAATATGTTTTCTTTAATGTTTTTCTACTTATCAGATGCCCCGTGCTGAAGTTTCAACTTTATTCAACATCCACTTTCATAAAATCAAAAAATAATACCAGGATATTGGGAATCTGTAAAAGCTAGATAAATTATATTGGAATTTAAAATCACAATACCAATCCAGCAGATGGACAATGCAATGATTAAGAAATCAGTGAATTTCTACTAGTGAAACACCTGTTCATTTCCTAATTGAATAAACCAAATATTTTTATATACTGCTTGAGGATACTTATCCAGTCAAAAAAAATAACACACAACTTCATCCAGTTGATGACATTTCATGTGACAGGAGCACTTTGTCACTGAATAAGCAGGAGTACATAATTTCCAGGCACAGAAGAACACACCTTCAGCCCCCATTTAAGTTTACTTGCTTCAAAAGAAATGGCTAAATAACAAACTTGAGCAACAACTCAGCTGGTGTCTTTCATAGCAAGATTACTTCTGCAAAACAGTCATTTATTCATTATACAGTTTACAGTAACATTGATTAAAATACTCTTAAAATACTTTGCAAGCAGTAACTGTTGCCTTTTTCTTTTTAGAAAAGCTTTTATTTTCATCTTCTTTATTTCCATTTTCTTTATTTCATCAGTTCAATTTTTAAGCCTTTTTTCCCCTATTATTGGCATTATCATGTTATTGGAGTCTCTCTCAGAAATCCCTCTACAAAATTTCTTTTGAATTCTTCTTTAAGGATACATCTGTAAGTTAACAAATATCTTAAAAGAAAATATGGCTGCTACTAAGAACTAGAGTTTCAAAAGTATCTAAAATGTTAAAATATTGACCATAGTTAGGTTAAATTTCAGATAATATGGACTCTACTGAATTATTCCCAGTTAGTATCTTATTTAGATCAATTACCTTCCAATTAGCCCTTTGAAAAGGCCCAGCTTTCAGTGCGTATGTTTAGCTTGCTTAATTATCATGTTGTACAGAGTCTCTCTCGCAAAGTTCCTGTGCTTCACTTGAGAACTCATAGGCCAGTGGGTATATTCTTTCCAAGGTGCTTCAAATTTAGAAGTTCTGTATATTGGTAAGCTTAAAAATTAACTCTCAGAGATTTTACTATTTAAAAAGACACTCGATACATAAATGGTTTTTATAGATTTTCAATCTAAGGGTTCATAAAATGAATTACCAAGGATGTTTCAAAGAACAATACAAGACAGATCTTGATGGAGTTCTTTGGCAGGTGTCACTTTGCAGGAACGTTTCAAAAGTGTTGAAAAGAAACTTAACAATCAACTTCATTATGAGGAAAGACAACATGGATCAAAAAAAAGAGAAGAATGGTGCTAGAAATCATCAACTAAAACTGATTTGCTAGAGACATAATAAAATTCAGTGCCATATCAGTAGGAGTCCTTTCATTTATGCCCTCATTACCTTGTTCGTGGTTATTTTACATGTGCTTTATCCAAATGCACCACAGGTCCAAGTGCCTGACCAACGCAACAATTAACTGGTTTTGCAATAACAATTTGGAAATATGCTGTAATTTTAACTAGTTTTGGTGCCAGTCTGATTTGAGGTTTCTGAGTTTGGAGTCACAGTGTTGGCTGATCAAATATAACACATTCTTTGACTTCTCTTACTGGCTTGGAAATATCACTCATGGTATGATTAAAGTGGTTATATGCAAACGTAATATACAGATATAGATAACTCAACACTTAACGAAGTACTTTCTTTCTAATATGGGTAAGTGATGTCTTCCTAATAATTAGAGAATAGTTTTAAATGGAGAGAAAAAAAGGAAAAATAGCAAGAGATCTGGTATCAGTGAAATGGGGACATGCTCCATTATACAGCTATTCATACAAGAAAAGATCTTATTCAACTCTGCTAATGTAGATATTTAATAGATATAAAGCATGATTTTCCATACATTCTGTACAATTCTTTCCAAACAAAAACTGTAAGTACAATGTCAAATGACATTTCTAGATATAAAATAGCAATACAGGTTGCTACAGAAGAACATCCTAGTATTAACTAAGCACACAATGCAGAAGATCAGACATGAATAAAACCATTAGAGAAGTAACTGTGCAAATCAGGAAACCTGTATTGTTAAACAGCTATTCCCCATCTATTTCTCTGGGTAATAGAAAGACGTGATATCATCACATTAGATATAATTAAGAATCACCCCAAGATCAGTCAAGATTTGAGCAATTACCAAATGTTAATCACCTTTGGGAAAATGAAAATATGTGATAGTTCTATTAGTAGGAATAATGAAAAAGGAAAAGGTAGTTAAATGCCAGTAGAAAATTCCATCAATATCCTACAGCAAGTGCTTCAATGAGCATTTACTATGAGTGAAATGTACCCCTATCTCTCTGCAAAAAGGCTGATTAATTTGACTTTGCATTCGCAGCTCTGCAGGAAAACAACTGACTCTTTAATTGGTTCAGACTTTAATTCAGACTTCAAAGTAACAAAGCATTTCCTCTCTAACATATTTGTAACATTTTGGCCTTACTGAATTCATAAAATGTAAAGAAAATGGCTTCTCCGTTGTCTGGATCCAATTTCTCCTCTAATCTAATATATACATTTTAAGAGGATCTGTAAGATCCCCCTCTACAGCATAACTGGGCAGAAGATGCTTCTTTCTTGGTAACTTCCACACCTGGTGTTAATCCCTTGTAATAAATACTACAGTGACACAGGAGGTCTGTTTCTATATTCACATTATTTAGACCATTTCTTATGAGTTGTGACATCCAGAAACATTAAATTAATCATACAGTTGACAACCATAGAGTTGTACTTACTTTTATTTGGCTTTTCAGAGAGTCATGAAGAAGAAAAGCTACTTGTGCAACAGCTTCCTTCACATCAGTAATAACACAAACTTGTTGTGATAGGTTGTCTGTGATCAAGAAAAAAAAACCTTAGTATTTCATGGAAAGATAAATCAATCAAAATTACTAATCTGCTAAATATTACCCGCAATCCATATACTGCTGTCTCTTGACAGAACCTTTTCAACAGCTGTAAATTTAATTTTAAGATGACTTATTTCAAGGCACAGTTAATTTAACTACATAATTTATAACACATAGATCTCAAATATAAAATTCGTATTATATTTTATATGATTTTTTACAATGTGAAAAGATCACATAAGGCCTGTCCAGAAAGCCCATTTAAATAACGGACTTCTACGAAAAGGTATTTGTTCAGGTCCACATTAATGACACTAGATGACAATCAAGAAAATAACTTTCTGAAAACTTCACACTTATCCCTTTAACAGATCACTAAATGCAGTATCAACAATATTGAGACATGAGAAAAAAACCAAAAACAAAAACCAGGGGATAGTATAAATCCTCTTCCCAATAATATATACTACACAATAGTAAAAAACCAACCAAACAAACAAAAAAACCCCCACAAACAAAAAACCCACTATTGAAGATACTGAAGATACTGTTCAGGGAGACAGCAGATATCAACTCAATATGAAAAAAGTTGCAGAGTCAGTGACAAAGATCTTTGCATAGAGAACTTCATAGATCTTTTACTGGTGGGGGAAAAAATACAATATTTTGTTGACACCAAGAACAACAGTTTCAAGTTATTGCCTGATCTGCTCCATAAAGCAAGTATTTCAGAAAATTAGTATTCTCTCTTATTATTGACTACAGTTTCAAGATTCAATGAACATATTCCTTTCTTTAAGCAAACAAATCAAAATAATTCAAGCCTGGGACTCTCACTTCTAATTCAGGATTTTATCCTTTAGAAGTTGAATTAATATGTAGACCAAAACACAAGATTTCCAATGTCTTTGGGATAGCTCTTCCATAAGCAGCTAGAAATTTCATAAATGTAAAGTCTAATTATGTTTAAAGCAGACTTCAATAAAGCTTCAGGGACAGAAATATACCAAACACCACCACAAAATAAATCAGTAGTGAAAGACATAAAAGAAATTATAAAAATATGGCCTAACTGCTCTTCAAACAAGTCTGAATATAAAGATACATATTTGTTGCATGTGGAATTTTTTTTTTTTTATAATTACATACCGCACAATAAGTTCAATCAGATGCATTACTTAAGTAAACATCTCCCTTTCTATTGTAAACTCAAAGACATCTTTACAAAAATAGATGTACAGACCTAAAAGTTAATTTTAAAACTGCTGCAGAGTTAACATCATTGGAAAATTACTTGTGATTCTGAAACAATTTTTTGTGAGCAGGAAAAGTGAATTAATCACTGAGGATCTCAAAAATAATTACAATGATTTTATGAATCATGGGCATTTATTATGTCCAATATTTATAACGTGACAACAAAAACAGTGGTAGCAACTGGCTTTGTATTAAGTTAGCAAGAATGGGGAGGGAGGAAGAAAGAGAGAGAACAATAAACATCTGCTTATAAACCATCACAACTAGATGAAAGCGAAAATTAAAAAAATGCATGGCCAGTTCTCACAGGACTGGAAATCACAGGATACCACAACTGTGGGAGAAATTATCTTCCCATAGATTCACTGGGCAAAAACATATACTGAACATGCATCAAAGTTGGCTTCTACTTAATACAGAATAACTTTGCAGTCTAAAAAATGGGTCAATGGGAAACCATATTGAATTAATTTCTTATCAGCAGAAAGAAACCGTTGGGTAGATTGGAATCAGAGCAAGAACCACTTGAACAGATACACTGCAGATACAAGATCGATGTACATAATAAACCAGACTGGCATATCAGATTTCAAGAACTCAGATTCTACTGAACTAAGTAATTTAATGAAGAAGGTCAGATTGGAGCTATTACAAAATTCCACATGTGGAAGAAGCCTGTGGAATCCAAAAAGGCACCGTAACTTACGCCCAGACAGTTCTTTTTAAAAAGAAGTCAGTTATCAACAGCAAGTGGCAAAAGTCACCTCACAAGAGGCTGCTCGAAAACTGCAACTACTGATGTCATTCTGGCACTCTGACAAGGCCGATTTAGGTATTAACATGATCCAACTTTCTCTTACCATGTCCAGTATAGTCCCAGATACTAACTGTAGATTGAACAGTTCCATTAACTGGGTATAGTGAGGATCGATCTTAAGATCCCTCAAAGTAAACCTGTCTGATCCTGGTGCTGTGTTCTTACTCATCTCTTTGATGTTTTTTGAGATTTCTTTTGCCATGATCATGGCTTCAAATGCCAAGTTGTTCGCCTGGCCAATGGTTCTGGAGACACCCAAGCCCTTGAATGTTGCCATCAATTCCCACCTTAACTTGACCACTTCCTGTCCACACCTCAGGGATTCCACATCATCCAGGATGATACCGGCAAGTTTCCTCTCTATCAAGGTGAAACAGCCACCGGAATTGTAGGAATTGCCCCTGCTTCTTGGCCCTCCTCTTCATCCGCTCCTTTGGTGGTTCTGAAGGAGTAGCCCTGAGAGCCACTCGGTACTTTGGACCATGGCCTGCTTTCAACCCAGTGGACTTCGCTCACAGGCACGAAGCCCATCTCACTCCAGCTCCCTTAAACCTCTAACTTCCTGTAATGTAAATGAGGAAGGAGAGACTCCTACCAAAAAAGTAAGATCTGCATGTTGAATTTAATAAAGAAGAAAGCAAAATTGAGTGAAGTGTAAAAAAATGTATTTCTAATCTGGAGGAGGAATGTAATGTTATAGGGGGAAGTCTATTAATCAAGTATGAAAAAACTAAAGTAATGACAATACACACATTGAAAAGATGCTGCATGCTTTTAAATGATTGAGAAGAATGATTTCCCAGACTTCCTTTACTCATCATTTATAAAATCATCATAGCAGAACAACAGTTCTGTTCTTTTCGAGGTTTAAAACTGAATTTCCATTTAAGTCCCAACTGTTCTAAGTGGTCATAAAGATCTACATGTTAATTTAGACGGTCTGTACCTTTGCTGTATCGTGGGAGGGAAGGCTGAGTGGAGCCTTCCTCCCCGAGACTGCCTGCGTCCCACCTCTGGTAAGCTGAAGGCACTCTCCATCACTCAGAGCAATCACACTGAACCCAGTGAGCACAGCTGGAGTGCTGGCTCCTAACTCCACAGATTTCACAAGTTCCGCTGACTGCCAGTAAAGCTAACCGTGGGCACCATTTCATTCCTGGGTCTCAGAAGTCTGTTTGGGTGAACGAAACTGTCATTCTGGAAAGTCACATCATGGCTGTGTCACAAAGAATTCTAATACCCAGCTAACAAAATTTTGTTTTTCATTGGACCGCTGGATAATTCAAGCTGGAAGGGACCTCAGGGAGGTCTCCAGTCCAAACTCCCACTTAAAGCAGGATAGCCCATGAGATCAGGCCTGGTTGCTCAGCCCCTTGCCCCGCTGGCACTTGAAAACATTTGAGGACAGAGATTGCACAATCTCTCCAGGCAACCTGTTCACTGCTTGATTGTCCTCACGGTGAAAGAGTTTTTCCTTTGTTTGAGTTGGAACTTCCCTTGGTTCAGTTTTTGCCTGTCTTGTCCTCCCACCATGCACCACTGTCCTACTTTTCTTCCCTACTTTCACATCACACCTTCCTTTTCATCTGCTCAACCTTTTATTTTGGTTTTTTCCTCTCGCTATTACATTACCTATCAAAATCACTCTCTTGCTTTGGCTTCCTCTTCCTCTACTTAGTTTAAACTTATTTCCCTGGAAACCTCCTCTTCCCAATACATGTGTCTCATTTACTCTCAGCTTCTTTCCAGCTGTACCTGATTATGGAGTAACACTCCCAATACTGCATCACATTTAACATCCACTCAGAGCATATTTTTTGCATAAAATTTAAAACAGTTAAAACTTTACCCTGCCAAATTCTGTTAGGCTAAACATTAAATTTCTCTATCAGGAAAGGGGTAGGAATTTTCTTCATTACAGATAAATGATACAGGATTTCAGAATTTGTTCTATTAAACCTCCTTCTCTCGCCAGTAAACTTAACTTTCAATTTTTTATATCCTGAAAGCTTTAGATCACATTATTTAGTAACACCTGTTACAGTCTTTATACTAGAATCTCACCCAAAATTATAAATTAAAATGTGTGCATGTTTATGGAACTACCTTAGTTAGATAATGTACTAAGTGTACTCTAACAAATGACTTAAAAGTTTACCCTGAAAAGCATGCCACAAACAAGCAGCAATTAAAATAATACTTTGAATAAAGACCATAAATATCATATCCTAGGGAATTAACACTATAAGAATAAAAATGCATCTGAATGGCAAATAGCTTTTAGCCTACAGACATATTTTTTTTTCTCTTAATTGCACGTATATGTGTACACATACACTTCTTTTTGTAAACATATGTTCATACCATGCCATACTTGATCTGTCATTACAATTCCTAATATTTTGGAAGCACATCCTATTCATCAAAATGCTTTTGAAGTTTGCAGTGAATTGATAATAGCAAATTAATTTATCAGAATTCCATTTTCACTTCTTACAAAGCAATGGCTTGACTGGTCTGGAAACTCAGTATGGTTCTCCCAGGTATTTTTAGTATCTCAGAACAGAGGTGTTTCTACCACTGTAAACACAAGAAAAATGAAATATGTACTGCCAAGCATTTAGTTCATTCATGCTCAACAGAATGAGTTTAAATTATTATTATTCGTCTAACATAGGTAACCAAAAATACCTAACAATTTTTTGTTTACCCATTCCACTTTTCTCTGTAGCCACAGAAACCAAAAGCCAAATTTGACACTGCCCCTACCAATATTAGTATACAAGAAGGAGAGGAAGATTTTGTGGTAGAAGACACGGAAGAGGGTTGTTTTCACTTGATAATAACTATTCTGGGGAGTACCTCCCCACCTGCCAGTCTATTTCTTTGCCTCACAGAAGAGAACAGCAG